CCCCCCCCCCCGCAGAGGAGAAGCGCTTCTTCCTCCAGCCCCCCCCCTCTCTTGCAAAAGCAGCCTCGTCCCTTTAACCCTTGCGCTGGAGGGGAATGCAAACGCTGCCCGTCCTCCCCCCCAGACCCAGACGCCCAGGAGAAGAAGGAAGAGGAGCCACCCCCCGCCTTCCATAGCGCCCTCTGTCATTTTTTTCTCACTCGAGTATAAGCCGAGGGGGTGCTTTTTCAGCACAAAAAATGTGCTGAAAAAGTCGACTTATACTCGAGTATATACGGTAAATGAAAGCATTTGGGATTGCTTTCCTTACTTTGTTTGGATCATCTTAAGTTAATGTATGAGTGGTTTTTTTCTAAAGTAAAACCTCAGTATTCAGGTTAAATTGCCGTGTTGGCACTTTGCGATAAATAAGTGGGTTTTGGGTCGCAGTTTGGGCACGCGGTCTCGAAAAGGTTCGCCAACACTGCACTAGAGCATCCCTGACAAGACTTGTTGGACTATTTTTTCCCCTTTACAGTTTTCCCCTTTACAGTTTAAAAACATAAGGCAGCGTTCAAAAATCTGAAGCAGGATAGACTGCTCTCCCATCTCAGACTGAGCCACCTCATTTTCTCGTGGGCACTCCATGAAATTGCTGAGCGGTCAGGGTTAGAACGGATAAAAGGAAGTACTTCTTCACCCAAAGAGTGATTCACACATGGAATTCACTGCCACAGGAAGTGGTGGCAGCTACAAGCATGGACGGCTTCAAGAGGGAATTAGATAAGCATATGGAGCAGAGGTCCATCAGTGGCTATTAGCCACAAGGTCTAGATAGGGGCTCTGGGGCAAGTGATGCTCTGTCTTCTTGGTGCTTGGGGGGAGGTCACCAGTGGGAGGGCTTCTAATGTCCTGGCCCCACTGGTGGACCTCCTGATGGCACCTGGTATTTTTGGCCACTGTGTGACAGAGTGTTGGACTGGATGGGCCTTTGGCCTGATCCAACATTGGCGTCTCTTATGTTCTTATGTTCATTTTGCTGCAGATTTAGCCCAGTTTATGCAAAGTGAGACTGGGGTGATAGCATTCTGGATTATACCCTAGTAACCTACATATGAGTAGTTGCATCTTAATCCCTTCCTAACTTTCTACCTGCACAGCAGGGTATATATAGTACATCTCTCATTCATCAAATGTTTGCTTCATT